CATATTATTAGCACTGATGAAGATCCGGGCTTACGAATCGAAAGCTTTGCAGTAATAAATTTACGTCGTGTTTCCACAAACAAAACTATTATATTTTATCGCCATGCAAACATACAAAGAACTTAGTGTTTTTATTGTTCCGCATAAATCCAAGACACATAAACTAAAATATTCAGTTGAGTAACAATGCTGTGATGTTATGCGGAAGGATTGAGCGCGTCATAAAGCGCGTCAAGTGACCTGTTTACTTGGTCGAGTTGCTATTTTATAAGTGTACCTGTGGCAAGTTTTATTTGCTCGTCTGTAAGACTGTATATGCGTAACTTTGACAATTTTTTCAAACTAACGTGCTAGCTTTTGAACAAGTGTACTTGTACTTGTCACATTAAAAATTGTCAAAGACAAAGTACAAATTTTGCTCGTCTGTATGGGTCGAAGAACAACACTTGTCAAAGTAATTTCCGCACTCACATGCAGTTGGGCAACGATCTATATTGTTGTAATGGTAATAACAGCCATCGTGGTAGTCAAAAACCGAAAACTTGTCATAGACAATTTGTCGCACGTGCATGCACACGTGTACTTGGCAAATAAAACTTGCCTCGAAACTTGCCATATAAACTTGTCATAAAAAGCTTGCTTGTCTGTAAACGCGGCATAACAGTTACCATACCTTTAAACAGAAATAGCGATACAATTACAAATAACCAGCGATGAATTGGCCAAGACATTCTTCCGTTAATTTCGTAAACCTGTACGGGAATGAGAATGACAAGTGCTTTGAGTAAAGACAGTGTATATATACTTCCTGCAACCAACCATGCAGGCATGTTATGCATGTATAATACGTCCAATTGATTAAATTCTATTGAGTTAGAGAAAAACTCCCACAAAAAAGCCAACAATATTTTACGTACTCAGTCTCATCCCATGCAGGAACCCGGAACGATCTCATCTCTATATCTTTGAAAGTTTTTTCTGACTGCAAAATATAATTGTTTTACCTATCTCAATGCCCAACACGTATCAATTCTCGGTGCTCTTTTATATATGGACTCCTCGGTCCTATATAAGCTATGTATAAAGGGACCGCGGTCACATGCACTACAACGGATACGATATACTGAACGATTTTAAAATATCGCTCACCCGAGTGGTAACGAGTTGGGCGATGATTTTTTAAAAAAAGTTTTTGAGCAATCGGCGCATGTTTACAAGTTTATAATATCGTATCGTTATCGTTGTTTAGTGTGCCGGGGCTGGGCTTTAAGTGGATAATTGGTGTCTGGGGGGTAAAAGACATGTATGAGGAACCATGCATGCAGTGATAAATTAAGCCGTCTCTGAATCAGCAACATGAAATTTTAATAATAATAATGGTTGGTTTACTGACATATTTTCGCACCGACAGGTGAATTGCAATATGTTTACAAATTATTGGATGAAATTACAAAAGCGAGGTCCATGGACTTCAGTCTAACAAATAGTCTGCATGGTTCTTAAAAACCGTGACTTTTGTGCTTTATCTGAAGTGGGAAGTAGGCTGATTGGTATACCGAAAATATATCAGGATTGTATTCACTGCCGGTATTTGTCGGTATATACGGATATTTAGGCATGCCTATTACCCTTATAAATAGGGGGGGTCAAAAAAGTTTTAACGCAGAGAAAGGGGGGGGGGGCGGGTAGCTCAGAAAACAACGCCGGTAGGACCTGATATTAAAAATAAGACTTTTGCCGGCGAAGCAAGTGGGCAGAACATCTTGGCTGTCAACAACAAGCTTTCGAATACAGGACTAGTTTGGCTGTTCTTTCAGCGTCGTGTATGTCCAAAATTCGTCAAAGATTTTGATGAAGCCCTTTCAAAATACTGTTTGTTTGATTTATTTTCTTCCATAAAGCATAAAAGGAAAGAAATTCGAAGAAATCGATAATGGAATTTGTTACGTGCGTTTGACCTTTATATTAATTCTCGCCTTGACCGAGCTATTTTTAAAACTGTTGTTTATCTGAACTTGCAGCCAATCAAAATCCTTCATGATGCTGATCAACCAATCAGATTTCCCGTCCACCAGGTGGACGGGAATCCCACACTTTAGATAGGTTTTGTGTCAGGCCCTATTCTGTGATAGGGCCTGAACTTCAGGTTAACTAAGTTTAAGCTTCCTACCCCCTGAGTGACCCAGTTGTGGCATTTACATAAACATAGCATTTTTGTGAGCCCCCTCGATAAGCATGGCTTTTGGGGCAAACAGCTAAATAAAGTTTATATAAAAAAAAACTACACTTAACTGATCAGATTCGGTCTATCAAAGCACAATGTAACGCTGTATATCCAAAAATCTGTTTCAGAAAATGCTCACATTTCAGTTCTAGGGGTGGAAAAATAAAAAAATTTTCTGGGGGAGAATCCCCCAGACCCCCCTACTAGTACATACGATACCACACCAAACTTTTTGTCACCAACAACCATCTGTCATCTCTCCACACTCAATATAGTATGGTCCCTTTTTGTAGATGCCCACCCCCAGACAAGTTCTTAAAAAACCCTGTGTTCAAATCATTTCGCTGTATGAAGACGGGTCATGGGTTAGGGTTATGGTAGGACAAATGTTGCATTGCAAAGTAGTAACACATAATATATATTTTTAATCATATATGGTTGAATCATATTCACCAGGGTAAAACATCATGAGCTAGATTAAACAGATTGTCCTAATATCTAACTTTACATGCAATGCACACCTGTTTCATTGCTGTTAATTTTTCAATCCACACTGGGGGGGTGGGGGTCAGAAAAGTTTCTACTTTTATGAGGGGGGAGGCACAAAATGTTTGCCTTCAGTCTGGAGGGGGGGGGGTTAAAAAAGTTTTCAATCCTTATTTTCCCCATTTACCAACTCCCCCCTCCCCATAAATAATGACCACTCCCTAAAGGCAGTTTAGTTTTATAAAGAACACTTTAAAACGTTTTGCGAAGCGTTTGTGGTTGAATTTTACCCTAAATTGAAGCTTATATTACGTATAATAACATACCTAACATATAAATGTTGGGAAATTGATAATTTTGTAATTAAAAGTGATATTTTTAGGCAATTTTTCATTTGTAAGAATATTCTTGAAAAATTATCGTGTTACCATGACTTTAGATACTTCATGTTCGGAAAATGCAATGGTTTTGTTATCGTGTTACCATTATCGTGTTACCATTACTTTCGATACTTCATGTTCGGAAAATGCAATGGTTTTGTTAGCAAGGCGAGGGTTTCTGCATGCATGTATATTCTAGTGAATACGCGGTTGCTACGTTGTAACGCAATAAATACTGTAGTTCAAAATTATATATGCAATCTTTATACCAGAAACATACCACTTCAAAGAGCTTCAGAACTTTTGTAAGACAAAGCAAAATGCTACAATCATTCCAAAATATAGTGAACAACTATATACATCAACTCATTTCTAATACATGCACTTCCGTATATATAGGACCAGCTTATTTATCTTTTTTCCTGAATGAAATCTCATTAAGTACCCAAGGAAGCTATATTCATAAAAAAACTAGATACTAATGGCTGTTTTACGAAATTGAGAGCAATTTCAAATCTGTTCAGTTTTTTTTTTATACACCCTGTATAGAACATTTGATTAAAGAGTTTTCCTTGTCAAATTTTCCTTGACAAGTTTACATTCTCGTGTGTAGGGTCAACGAGTTTTCCTTTAACAGTTTCCCTTGAGAGTTTTGTTGCACAGAATGTTGTCAAATATTTATCTTCATATGTAGAAGTATTTGTTGTACACTTGTCAAAGTTTGCCTTGGCGGCCGCACACACGTCCGAACAAATTTTCCTTGTCCAAAAGGTGGCATGGCTTCCCTGGCAAGGAAAAATTCTTAAGGAGCAGATAAAAATTTGACAAGAAAAGATTGCCCGTCTGTATGGGTCCTTAATTAAAGGTATTTTTTTATACACCCCGTATATTGATGGACTGAGCTAAATGTTCTGAAAAATTAGCATAAAATTTATCGAATTTTGTATAAAGGGAAAGGCAGTCTCATGCAATCAATAATATGTCCAAGATTGTAGCTCTAAAAACAGAAAACACATTGAAATCAGTATCTCATCAAACCGAAATTATAAACTCGTCATTATTGTTTCAGCGTAATATCCTCATGGTAATTAGAATATATATATATATATATTCATCAAACCGAAATTATAAACTCGTCATTATTGTTTCAGCGTAATATCCTCATGGTAATTAGAATATATATATATATATATATATATATATATATATATATATATATATATATATATATATATATATATATATATATATATATATATATATATATATATATATATTGTAAGTGAGGTCTTCACGCATCAGTGTTAAAAACTTAGTATACCAGGGTCCAGGATATTATTTGAAAATCATAACCGAGGAACAGAATAATCATGAACCTATTATCCAGTTGCCACGTGGGAAAAATTACCCGGCATGCAATTTGTGTTTTTATGCAATTTGCAACTATGACACCCTAGACTCGCCGATGCTTCAATTTTTTTCAAACTAGCACTGAGGCAACAGGGTAAGACAGGTAAGCTGCACACCTCAGGTTCCAACAAGCAGTGTAAAAGCTAGTTTCCACTCAGGAAAATTATTCGTGGATTGGAACGGACAAGAAAGTTTTTCTTTGTCTTGTACAAAGAAACATTTTCTTGTCCGTTCCAATCCACGGATAATTTTCCTGAGTGGAAACTATCCTTTAAGCTAATGTTGTTTCAGCGACGGATATAGTCGTTGCAATTACTGTACATCCCTGGAAAACAAAACAGTATGGTCTGGCTGCGAGTATCGATTTTTATTTATCGAGTGACGGCACTCTCTATTTTCACTTTAAACAAAAATGGCGTCTCCAACACAAGAACCTCGACAAAGGTTACCCCTATAGAATAAAAGGAGGAGACTACCTTTCACCATTAAATATTGCAAGTTTAAGTCAGAGATTGGTAGTTGTCAGGCTCTACATCTCTGGTTTGGTTTAACTCAGTATATGTTGACTCCTCCTCAGCATTCACCCTCAACGACTGATAATTATCTTCTGTGTTCAGTTTTGTAAGATCAAGCTCTTGATAAGTTGTATCAGCTTCAGTTGTCTTTGGTTCATGATTTGATTGAGGTTGTGTCCTTCTTCTAAATTTACGACGAGAACACGACACAATGTAGGAAAGGAAAATTCCAATGATAATTCCAGACACCAATGTTACGACAACAATATACCATTCTGTTCCACAGCTGGTGTCATTTGAACATGCTTTGTCTAAACGTTGAAAAGTACACTAGTATATGTATATATCAGAGCACGCTGCATGTTTGTATTGCAGCAGAAACAACATAACTAGGTATTTAAATAAGCTAATGTCACAGCAATTAGGGTGATAAATAATAATTATGATCGGCAGTTAATTATCCATAATAATTTTAGTGTTCTGTACTGTACTGTACTGTACTGTACTGTACTGTGTTGTTTTGTACTGTACTGTGTTGTTTTGTACTGTACTGTACTGTACCGTACTGCAACATAACATACTTCACTGCATTGTTTGTATAGAATATTGTACAATTCCTTCTCTAATAATATACATGAAAAATGAAAAAATTCTCAATTCTGATTGGCTAAGAGCACTGCAATTTTTTTGAAATATAGTGCCAAAAAATGAAACACAGTGCAAATTTCATTGACTATTTAGACATTCTGATTGGTTTAAAATTAGAAACAATAACAAAGATAGCAAGATACAGCTATTTCCAGCAGAAATAATTATTTATTTATATTATTATTTATTTCCATCACTCATGTAGTGTATTGCCCTGCACTGTCAGACATTGTACAGTTTTGTTTGTATGGTACTTTAATGTTTTGTGGACTGGACTGGACCGTAATATAATGCACTCAGACATCGTAGTTCCATGTTGACTTTACTTTTGTTTCATACAAATGGGTTTACATGCAATCATAAGTCTTAGTTTAGTCTTCTCATTTAAATGTATTCGAAGCTGGGTCCTATGAAAATCATTATACCTGGAGGTTTTACGAACGTCCTGGTAGTGGTGCTCCATTTTGTCGAGTAGTACGAGTTCTTTAGAAAACAAAATATTAATTAATCAAGTTTTCTATTGGAACAAAAACTTTTGTCAAAAATATTAACAAAAACGTTCTGTATTTACAGAATTTACCTGAGTTTCAAAAAACCTGAGAAACGCGATATAACTTGAATTCTGTTTCAGAGGTTGGTTGAAGTATTTTTGTTTTTCCGAATTATACTCCTTTCCATCACCGATCACGAACGCCAAAGGCAGGGCATCAGTTTTCAAATAAGCAGTGATGTATGGATCTTGTGTGTTGGCCTGGTAAGGTTTAAGATCGCTTGCATTGAGGCTTTCGACTGGTCTTGGATTGTCAGATGCAATTTGTACGATGACCATCACTTCTCTTAATGACGAACAAATACATGATGACAAGATCATATCAAAGAAATTAGAATAGTGCATGTGATTGGATTCGAAATTATCACCAGGGAACCATGGGTGACAAGCAGTGGTGTCAAGTAACGAAGTAAATGTACTTCGTTACTGTACTTGAGTACTATTTTTGGGAAGTGAGCATGTAACAAAGTAAACTTTTTCTGCAGTACTTTTACTTGGAACGAAGTCGTTTTAAGAAGTAACGTTTTACTTCGTTTTTTTTTTCATTTTGTGGCGAAGAATTTTGTTACTTTCTAACTTTTGTCTAATTTTACGTAATTTATTCCCAATTTATTTTACTTTTGGGATCAGTAATAGGACCTCTACATGCGTTTGGGATCTTACTTATAAGCATTATTCATTTAACGGAATTCGTATATCTTCAGCCGGGTCTGGAAAGCAGACCATGCCGCGTGAAATATTGTATATTTATAATGCGTGTGCTGTTTTGTGTTTTTTTTTTTTGTATCTCAATCCATGAATGGAGAAGTCCCCCTCCCCTAAACTCTACAGACAATAGTGCTTTTACTTTTACTTTGTACTTCAAGTATTTTTTGAGGATACTTTGTACTTTTTACTTAAGTACTTTTTGCCTCCAGTACTTTTTACTCTTACTCAAGTCGTTTTATTGTTAATTACTTCTGCTTTTACTTGAGTATAAGTAATTTAGGCACCACTGGTGACAACATGCAGGTGTGGTTAAGGCGCAGCCCCTTACCGCTATGCTATAAGCCTGCTATTGCAGGTTGATTTAAGGCCACTACAAGTTAATATTTAGTTTCTGGTCCGGCCTTACCTTCGTTTACGATGCGGGCGGGTGGTTAGGACTATAGGACATAATTACAATTGTGGCTTTGCCCTCATTTTTGTGGTCTTTCTTGTCCCTTTTCACGCTAATTGTATCAAAATGTTATGAAATTTTACATAAATTACATTTATATCATTTATAAATCGACATGTATGACAGATTACAAACGATTTTACATATCAAAATGATCTACCAATATTTCTAGTTTTATTTACCTCGTAATATCGATAAGGCAGTGGTTTTTACAATTCAATACTACATTTTGCTCGGTCTTTTTAGTGTAAATTGAATATTTATCGTTCTATAAGTTAAATCCTTCGCGAAAATTTTCAAGAACCAGAAATTAATTGTAAACAACAAAATAGTCCTGAAATAATACTTTACGGAGAAAGGACGCGGGCGGCGGACCAGAAACTAAAGATTAACTTGTAGTGGCCTAATATAGGGTTTACTGAGGTGAGGGTTGCAGAGTAACTTCCCTGTGCTTAAAAAGTTATTAAGTACGTATAGTTTGGTTCATTATCTACTTTTCCCTCAGATCCCCCGGTTTTTCTCCCTCTCAGAAAATGAACCTTTAGGATTTAGTTAGCCTGCGTTTATTAACGTTTATTAACGTTTATTAACTGAACCTGAATTTATTAACTTGATATTTAATGAATTCGGGTTGAGGCTGCACGCAGGCTAGGTTTTAGTGATCGCGAATAGCGAGCTTAAAGGGGCACTATATTATTATAATTATCAGGTGAACTTACTTGATATACGCCGGTGGTTTCGATATGGTTACGGTTAGACTTGAATAAGATATCGGGCCGTAAGTAAAACGCTCTTAAAAGTATGAAATAAAGTAAAATACGTGAAATGCTCCACCTTTGAATTTACTATATGAGTAAATTGTTAAACACGTCCGAATTTAATTATCATTATGATAAATTCGCGGCACCTAACCCCTAACACTAACTTTTAAACTTTTTTTGAAAATCTAATTTTTTTTAAACTTTTCTTTTACTTTTGTTAACTTTTTTAAACTTTTTTTGAAAACATATCAGAGAGAGTCAAATTCAAGGACTTTTTGAGAACGAGGGCATTCGAGACCATGTGTATCAACAAATTCAAGCACTTAACACCGAAAAGAAAGCGTTAGAAATCAGTACAATGTCACGTTGAATTGTTCAAAACGCAACTTTAGTGAATTCCAAACAGCTTTGTCAAATATGATCACGCAAAATCAATTCAACAAAATGTCCGTTTTTGAATGCCAAATAATTTCAGAACTAAAATATCCGTAAACTAAAGAAAGGCGAATTCCAGGACTTTCAAGCACTTATTTACAAATTCCAGAACATTCAAGGACTTTCAAATTTTGTACGAAACCCGTGTCTATACCTTTACCTGCTTGTTTAGTTGTGAAGGTTTCATTGACGTAAGTGCCTCTCTGGACAGAACCATCCGCTTTGGTCAGTATTCCAAAAGTATTCTCAGTGTTGGGTTTAAGTGGAAGAATATTGAATTCAGTTCCATACATTGCTCGAGATATCTCCTTCACAAATTTGTTGTTGAGATAAATTAAATAATGTGTTACATAGCTGGAGTCCTGAGGTGCTGTAGGTAATTCCCAGGTCACACGTGCAGAGTAATCCGATGGTGAAACATTGACATTCTTTACAGGAGCTGGCGTTTGAACTAAAATTAAAAACAATGCAATTATTAGCAAACAATTGATTTAACCATGGTTTTACTATTAAAGTCCATGACACTACAGAACCATGAAAACCGACAGCTTTATTCACGGCCGTAGCGAAGGGGGGTATTTTAGAATTAACATATTCGGAAAATCAGGTTGGTCATTCGGAAAGTATAAGAAAATTTTAGTTGTTTAAACAGAGAAAATATTATGAAATTGTATTGTCAGCATCATAAACTGATTTACAAAATCACGGCATTTACATGCATAACATTTAACAAATCGTAGATCGGTAAATGTTTTTCGGTTTATTACTTCCCAGGGCCGTAGCAACGGGGGGGGGGGGGGGGG